ATACTAGGCAAATCAAATAATGAATTAAATATATTTAAAACTGAAGGGAAGAATAAAGAAAGGCAAAAGAGGAAGAAAGAGAAGGAAGTTTATTCATATTGGAAAGAAATTTGTGAAACCACTAGAAGAAAACATTTGTGTGTATGTATGTACACATCTATACATGTATGTATATGATGCTGGAGAGAATCCTGGACTTCATGCTTGCTGGGAAGCATGGTGCTACTGAGATACATTTCTGGAGCGCATGGTGCTACTGAGATACATTTCCGGAGCAAGCAAAAACACTTTGGCATTAGCCCAAGTGGGTTCTGTCTTAGGGTTTCTAACAACTTGGGGAGGAAAGGGTTTATTTCAGTTTATAACTCTCAGATCACACACTTCATTGCTTTTTCATAATTTGAATAAAAAGAGTTAACTCAAATGTGCTGGTTGTTTTTTGTTTTGTTTTGTTTTTGTCAACTTGACACAAACCTAGACATATCTGCATGAAGACCTGTAGTCTGACAGAGCTCAGCCCTCCCCTCTTCCTGTCGAGTTTGCTCCAGACTCACAGTACAGACAGGAGAAGGTCCTATCCCAGACTCCTACTAGCTAGAGCCTTCTCTGCTGTCTGAGGATTTCAGGTCACTGGATGACACCATAGCATATCTTGGGGGGTGGGGAAACAGTCATCCCTGCACAGCTGGGCCTCTGTTGCTGGCCTGTCATCCACCATTCATCTGGAGGACAATCTGCATCTGACCCATAGAACATTCCAGAACCTTGTCAGGAAGCAAACATTCTACATGAAGTGCTGTCTGGTCTCTCAAAGGAGAGATGGAGGCAGCCAGTGAGTGATAAAACTATGTGCTATCTTCAGAAGGTGTGATCCTCACACTGACCTAAGGGCGGAGTCAGGTCTTATCTGCACTTTATAGTCTGGGAGCTGAGAGATAGCAGTGGGTAGGTGCTGTTAAAGGAAAAAGATTATTCAGCTCTGCTGGAGATAGCAGATGCTGTGCTCCCTTCATGGCCTAGAAAGACAGGATACAGCACAGGCAAGTGAGGAATACGGGAAGCTCAACTCAACAGGACTCTTGCCCAACAAACTGATATGGTTGGGGAATAGGAGCCCATCAATGACGGAGAACTGTAAGGTCCATCTGTGAAGTGACTGAGATAGGTCGTTCATAACATGGGAAAAGTTACAAATAAACATGGCAGAGCAGTGGTGAGGTCCTCACTGACAAGAGAGCTCTAGGGAACCCAAGCTGTGTGAAAGAGAAGTACCTTGCCAGAAGCCTGGAGAACAGGCAGTGGGTTCCTGTTCCCAGGTGGAAGGCTGGCAAGAGGATGGTCATTCTGCCACCAAGAAGTGTTTTTAATGGGGATGTGCAGCAAAATATTGGCTCTGTTCCAGGGATGAGGAGAGAATGAAATCCTCTCAAGGGGGCTCGTGGGACTAGTCTGAATTCAAATGTGTATGAGATGCACTTCAAGGAGTGGAAACACCTATTATCGCCCCAAGTATTTTGGGCACTCTTCTTTCACTCTAGGAGGGTGTCCCTGCAGCAGGGGCTGCCAGATTCCCCACAGAAATCAAAGACTAGCATATATCTGAATAACTGTCACCATGGAGATTTGGCTGAGACCTTGTCCTGGGAGCAGGAAGTTGGCACAAAGATGAGTCATTTCCATCCATTGATGAGTGACATTAACGAGTGACTGAGTTTTCTTCTTGAAGTGACATAGCCAGCTCACTATGACTCTGACCTATTTTGCAGGCTATAGGCCAATGTCATTTGAAGGAAGAACAGCTGAGGTAATCCAGACTCTGCTTTAAGTGCGGCCTTTTGGCTTCTGTACTTTCTTTACCAGGTACCATCCTTATCGCCAACTCATTAACCTCTTTGGAGTTCGCAGTCCAGTATTAATAGTACAAAGAGAGGAATTTTAGATAGTTGAGCTAATAAGAGAACTGTGAAATGTACAGCCTGGGACTATGACTTTGAACCCTAGGAGAAGATATGACAGCAAGTGGGGTAGGAACGGAGTGTTGCAGAAACTCCCTCAGGATGGGAAGGCTGGTTTCCTTCTACTGTAAAATGAAGCTTCTCTGGCCATGGTTGGGAACAGCTCCTGTCTGTCTTCTCCGGGAGCTGAGGTCTTAATTTTTTTTAATTTATTTTTACTATGACTGAAAAAAGCAGAGGCAACAACAAAAAGCAAAAGCAGACAAGTAGAGTTTTATGACGGTAAGATGTTCCTGCCTGGAAGAGGATTCAGTCAACAGACTGGACACTCTATGCAATAAGAGAAAATCCTTACAAAGCCCAAATCTGTCAAGGGATTGGTGCTCCCAACATATAAAGAGCTCTCTCTGATCTGAGGAAACCTGAAAATTTCTCATCTCCTGCGATTTTGCTGAATTTTTTCAAGTCTCTTAGCTCCTGCTGAATTTTACCACTGGGTTTTTACCTCTCTGTATTCCTAGTTTAAAATGAAGGAGGTGAAGACTCTCCCTCCTGATATTTGGCAACTGTCTCTTCATACTCATCCCAAGCATTTGTCCTGTATCTCCTTTACCATCCAGCCGCCTTTAGTAGGTGCAGAGTTTTCTGTTCTCCATTACATTCCTAGATGTCTCCCGCAGTCCTGAGCGTATGCAAGGCCGCACCTTTGTCTCCCCAAGCCCCAGCGCAACTCTGAAAGAGTCACAGCGGTGGCTTTTGAGAGCGAGAAGGATCCTTCTAAAACTCTTAAACTCCAAAATCTTCTGTATTTGCTTTGTTTTGTTTCAGCTCTCCTGGCTGCTAAAGCATACCCAAGTAAATATACAATCATCTGAGTAATAATTCTCTGTTTCTTCTCTCTATATACATTTTTACTTTCAAGACTGACTTATTTCTTTTCACCATCTGGCTAATATTCCTGTTTCATATTTACAATTGCCTGCCTTTTCCACTCCGGAGTCTAACGCATTACATCTTACTTCTTTATCATCTGACTGACATTTCAGTCTCACATCTACTTTGTGCACCTTCTCACTTTTAGAGTTAAATAACACACTTCACTTTTTTGGCAGCTGCTGACTGGCATCTTCCTATTTTACATTACAATTTTCTGTTTCCTATTTCTACAATTATATACAGTTTTATTCCTGACTTAACACTGTTCACTCATGGCAGTTGACCACTTCTTTCTTTTTCTGCACACGCTTCTTCTCAGACCCGTCTGCCCGAGATACCCATTTCTTCGCAGTGTCCACACTTTTGCCATGTCCATTGCTTCTTTGGTGTCCATTTCCCCATGGTGTCCATGACTTCTTTCCCAATTCTCAGGTCCAGCATTCGGGCGCCATTTTGTTGCGGCCCGGCATTTCTCAGTCCCAAACCACAGAAGCCATGAGGTCTGGCCTGAGTTGGGGAGTGTGAACTTGGAAATTCCTAGCAACCCAATGGCGATAAAGACCAGACACAGGCAATAAGTCATCTTTGGAGAGCTCTCAGTCCCATGCTGCAAACTGGAGTCTCCCATTTATTCTAGCATTTTCCTCAACTGCTTTCTAACTGTTCTCTGGTGATAGCAGTGACCATTCTCCTCAACCTCTCTCTAGACCCTATCAGCAGATACCTCAAAACAGTCTCTCCTCATATAGACCTAGCCCTCCTCCCTGGTGCAGGCCTATTCAAATGCTTAATTCTGTGGAGATGCAAAACTAGGGGACATTCTCCACTGAGGCTATGACATTTGGCATCAAATCAGCTGCCCTAGAAATACAGTTTGCCCATGACTCTAATTCTCATGTTCCTAAAGCAGGTTTTCCATAAGTGATCAGGAACTTCTAGTGGCTCTTCTACTGTGGCAGATACACAATAAACAAAAGACCTACCTCCACTCAGGAGCCAGAGGAAAAGCTGATTGCTGGCGCATAGTGTTGTCAACCATGTATCCTGTACTTCCCCTTCTCTCTAAAGTCTACAATAGATCCTTGCTTTGCCTCATGGACCTGAACTTCCCATTCTGTCTGCCCATGTGTTAGTGTTTCCCCTAACAAACCTCTTATACAAAAGTAAGAGCCAACCTGGGGTTCCTCCTGAACCCTGAGGCTCTGACACTCTTAGAAGAAGTCCCCATAGGATCCTGCTGATGAGAACAGGACATAGAAATTGACAAGGCATTTCAGAGTAGAAGATCCTGAAAATTAATAGTACCCACCCTTGGTTAAAAGTTGCAAATACCCTTGGCCCTGTCAGCAGCTTCATCCCTGCCAGAGACCAGAAATGCCAGAAGTGTTTAGCCCAAACTATCTTTAGTTCTGCTCTAGGCAGAAAGAGACCAGGGATGCCAGGAAGGTTGAGGGCGGGGAGACTTTTTTCTTCTCTTCCCCTAAATGAAGACCAGGGATGCCAGGAAGGTTGAGGGCGGGGAGACTTTTTTCTTCTCCTCCCCTAAATGAATTCCCTTTCCTGGAATCAACACATAAAGACATGACTGAAACTCAGATGTACATAGATACTGTGAGTGGGAACTGGACTGACTGTTCCTCCTCTCCTTGTCTCCATCCAGTAAAGCCTTGCTATCTCCAAGGCTGTACTCTCAGTGGTGCCCATTCCTCAGGGACATGCTCCAGCTGTACCCAAACTTGCCTTCTCTTAAAACTCCTACCTATGAAACTATAATAAAACTGATTCTTCTGCTGTCTATCGATTCATTCTTTGAATTTATACAAGTGAAGGGTCCTGAGGCCACTGACTCCTTGGAAGTTTTGTGTGGCTGTGAGCTTCCTGCACCCTAACTCAAGTTAAAGCCTATCTGAGAGGAGAAAAAAGACCTCCATTAAACTCAGAGGTACCCCATATTTATTTCAGCTTTAGTCACAGGGACCACATCATCTGTCAGTCTCAGTGTCCTTCGGGGGAGTGAGTGAAGAAA